TCACCAAGATGGCTGAGAGATCCTTGGTTATCCAGGTCCTGAGAATCTGGAGCTGGCCCTAAGCCCCACAATGGCCACCTTTTTCAAGTCCAGCCATGTGTGAAGAAGACTAACACCATGGGCTCCGTGCCTCTGGTGTCCCAGGGACCTCAGGTGCTTTGGTTTGCTCTTGAACGGGGCTGCAACCTTCTAGCAACATCTGATGGACAGCAGGGGACTTGTGGGTCAGACATCTTTCCTTATTCATTTTACCTACAATCTGCCCCACTTTAGGTCATGAGACAAAAAACCCCTCTGTGTTATTAAATAAGTCATTATTAGTAGTTCAGAAGCCATATCTTCCATGAGGACAGAGCTTCCTCTTCTGGACACGACAAACACAACTGAAGAAAGAGAAATGGTTTCAGCAAGGAGTACTCAGAGGTGGTTTGGCCAGTTCCATCACCTAAAACAAAGCATACAGTGTGCCTAGTATGCATTTGGTGGCCTCCCATCTAAGAACTAACCAGAGCTGACCCTGCCTAGCTTCTAAGATGAGATGGTATGCGTGCCTTGAGAATATTTAGGCCTTTCTCTGAACTACGCAAGTCCAAAAGCACCCTTTGCCATTGTTCTTGGGAGATCCCACAAGCAAGTATTTATCTCAAAGGAAGGTTTTCTTTTCTCATTCATCTCCAGATTTGCTGGCCGCCTTCCTGCATAATCACTCCCCTTGGATTTGCAGAGCACCATTCGGGATAATTCATGCTGAGAAAATGGGGAAACCCTTTAGGCTGCCAAAAACGGAACACGGTAGTCCCAGTGAGCCAATTCTTCAGGTATATCGCAGAAGGTACGCGCTTTGGAATCTTCTGAAAGGTTTCTTTGGGGATTATGACAAATGTATTGCTTTAAACTTCTACAAGTTGAACCTTCTTTATCTGGAAATCTGAAAACCTCCCAAAAGAGAAATATCTTGCCACCAGCCAATCACAAGGCTGGAGGGAGACTGAGGATCTGAGAGACAAGCAAGCAGGGATGCCGCAGCAGCATCTGATCAAGTATCTCATCACCTATATGCAGAAGCAGGCATTCTAAAATCCAAAAACACCCCAAATACAGAATATTTATGGTCCCAAGCATTTAGGATAAGAGATATCCAACCCGGACCAACCCAGTCTTGTGCTGCCTTGTCTTACACATTTAGGGGCCTCAAATGTTAGACCTGTTTCCAGACATATTTGACTTGACTGATTCCAAAAATGGCACCAGGTTTCCCTCATTAGCTCCAGTTTGTGAGATACTGAACATATGCCATATAGCAGTTGTCATCTGCTCGGCCATAGAAAACCATGATAACCCTATCTAAGAAACTAGCAATGATGCAGTCTATTCAATGCAATTTCCAGATTCCACCCCAAATTATCCTAGAAACAGGCCTAAGACACCAAGGATACATTTTTTTTGTTGGGTTGTGGTATCAGTCTATTCTTTATCTTGGAAGACTTGCAAATTTCACAACTTCTGAATCTCTCAGCACATAATTCTTAAGTCTGGAGTATAATCCTAGAGAAGAATCCAGGCCTGCCAGGGATACACGCTACAGGAGGGCAACACTACAAGTCGAAAGCATAGCTAAAAAGGAGAAATAATAACCACTCCTTGGCCAAGCCAGACTTGGGAGCAGAGCTTTCCAAACTGTGTGTCGTGACATGTTCATGCGTCGGCGGCAGCATATAGGTGTGTCGCGCAAACATAAATGAGAAACTTGAGCAATAAATCATAGATTTTTAAAATATACAAATGAAAAGTTTTCATTGTATATACTGCGTCCCATATAATTTATAACAATTTACATAGGTATCCGTATCCCTCATAAGAGGTTGGTGTAACTTTCAGTTTGGCAGTACAACTGAATTACTGTGTCGCAAAATGCGTCATGTCTGAAAAGTGTGTCACCAACATGCAATGTCTGGAAAGCTATGCTTGGAGAGAAGCAACAAGATCCAAACATCCCAGTTGCACCTTCCATAATCCAGATGTGTGCTGAACAAAGCAAAAGCAGACTTGGAAGGGGTGGCTGATTTCTTACAGCAGAGAAACTGGTCTGTTTCTGGGCACAATGAAAGGCCATGACCTTTAAATCCCTATAAGAATTGTGTTCAGGCTACGTGACAGTCGGCATCTTCCCACGGAAGCCTGCCTGTGGTTTGGGATCTTCCAGAAAGGTTCTTCTCTCTGTCTGCCTACTCACATAAATGAATCTGATGTAAATAAGGAGAGGGCCTTCTCAGTGGCAGCCCCCCAGGTCTAGACCCCTTCCTAGGAGGCTAGACTGCATCCTTCCACTCTGGAGATGGGTGAAGACTTTGGGAACCAACTTTTCTTGGAGAAAGGCCTTTGTATTATCTTGCAGGGTTGGAGAATGTTTTCAAATGGATGGATGATATTGAGAACTTGATTTTATTTTAACCTTTGCATGTTTTTAGTGAGGTAAATGTTTATCTATCGTCACTTCTTTCCCTTGAGGAAAAGGGATGTCACCAGGCATGTAGCTGGGGGGAGGGGGGTTTGAGGGGCTTCAGCCCCCCTGAAATTCTCAGGATCATAGAATCATAGAATCAAAGAGTTGGAAGAGACCTCCTGGGCCATCCAGTCCAACCCCATTCTGCCAAGAAGCAGGAATATTGCATTCAAATCACCCCTGACAGATGGCCATCCAGCCTCTGTTTCAAAGCTTCCAAAGAAGGAGCCTCCACCACACTCCCTCCGGGGCAGAGAGTTCCACTGCTGAACGGCTCTCACAGTCAGGAAGTTCTTCCTCGTGGTCAGATGGAATCCTCTCTCCTGTAGTTTGAAGCCATTGTTCCACTGCGTCCTAGTCTCCAAGGAAGCAGAAAACAAGCTTGCTCCCTCCTCCCTGTGGCTTCCTCTCACATATTTATACATGGCTATCATATCCCCTCTCAGCCTTCTCTTCTTCAGGCTAAACATGCCCAGCTCCTTAAGCTGCTCCTCGTATGGCTTGTTCTCCAGACCCTTGATCATTTTAGTCGCCCTCCTCTGGACACATTCCAGTTTGTTCCCAGGATGTTCCGCAAGAAGGCCTTACGGGTACATTATTTAAACTGCTATGTTTATTCATATCATGTTCTGATCATCATGCTCAATATATCCCATATGCATGGGGCTATTGGGATAATGATGCTAGGGTACATCCTCAGGCCTCAGCACCCACCAAATCAAAATCCTGGCTAAGGGCCTGGGTGTCACAGAGCAAGACTATTCTGCATTGTGGGCAAGGACACAACACAAGGATACTGTATTTCGTCAATTCTAAGGTACGCTACCCACCCCCCCACCCCCATATAAACATCTCTGAAATGGGTTGCGTCTTAGAATCACTGGCACCTTTTTACATATCTAAATTAAGCTTTTTTGGTCTGTTAGGGTACTGGAAATAGTGTGAGCTTTACAACTGATGGCATCTTAGGATTGAAAAAATGCAGAGCCTTCATCAAGGCCAAAACTCAAGAGGCTCACAGAAGAACCAGATACCAGTCAGTTTGGGGTGCCTCAGCAGCAGCCCCTTCTCAGCCCCTATTCAGATGGCATTGGTATCGTTACCCACCAAAAGCAGCAAGGGTCCAGAATGCCATAACATCCACAGATACAAACACAGTCCCACCTTCCTCACAAACAAACACACACACAAATATTAAGCAATGGTGCTGGCAGCCAAAGGAAAGAAGTACATGCTGGGCTGGGGGGGGGGGGTATCCACAAAGGAAGGGGGCAAAACAATATGGGGCAGAAGAGCAGAATCAGCCATGTGTCCAAGGAAGAAGACTTGAGACTATGAAAGCTTCTGCCCCCAACATCTTCCTCTCCTTTTGAAAGGTGCTACAAGATCCCTTTACATGCTGATATTCCAGGCTAACACAGCTCTGTCTTTGAAGACACACACAGAAAGAAAAGAGATTTTCACTGAACATTAGGATTAGCGTTAGAATGGATTCCAGTTACAAGATAAGCTTGTGCTACAACTTCTTTCGCTCAGTCTCAAAGGTGCTCTGTATACTGATGTTCCAGACCAGAAGGACTCTGTTTTTGAAGTCTAGCACAGGGAGTCTAGGACAGGGAAACAAGGACTTGGCCCAGCCATCTCCTAAGTCACAGGCCCAGAAAGGGCTTATTTCGCCAGAAGAAGAAGCTGTCTTAAACTGAGTACGATCGCAAACACATCCAGCCAACTCTATCAAGATGGAGTATCAGCAGTTCTCCAGGAGTTTAGGGCTCGTTTCCTTCTTTGTGTAGATACCAGGGTTGCCTACACCCCAAGGAGGTGCTCCACGGTGGAGCTACCAGTCCTCTTCTAGACTCAGGGAAAAGCGAGTATTCTTGAGACCTCTCCCAAAACAGTCTTCTGCTGGCATACTATACAGAAGATGAGGACGGGGAGAGGTCTTCACATGGACCTTTGGAATGGGACATCAAGAATAATTTTTAACCCAATTTTTATCTACTGGTTCTACAAAACACTGCAGCCTTAGGGATCCCATGCAAGCAGGCCCAGAAGTCCTCCTGTAAAGGGCTTCATGCTTACTCTCATATTCTAAGTTGTTCTGAAATGAAGAAGCACCAATTTGTGAAGGAGTGGCTTAGAGAGGAGGGGAAGCTTCCTAGTTTATGGTGCGTCGTTTACAAAATGCCAGTGTCTGGCAATAGAGCAAGGCAAAGGGACATTCTGTCGAATGAGATGATCCATCAACGCAGACAGATAATGTGTAGTGTTGAGAATCATAATGCAGCACTAAAACTGTATTCTTACTTCAACATCTAGAGTGATGAAACCAATGTGGTTCCAATGTCTTTCCTCTCTCATGTTTTCTGATGCACATACATCCACACACGCAAACACACAAGTGGACACAGTGTAATGACATGGGGACACACCACAAGGGAGGCCCCTCTTGTGCCAGGAAGGAACCAAGGATGAAAGGAGGAGAGTCAAAGCTTACCCTTCCGGCTGCCATCGACTCCATGGTCCCCATTCTCCACCACAGCGGCTGGTCCAGATGCCGACTTGCCTGGGAGAAAGACAGACACAGACCTGATCAATCACGGGAAACTTCTGGGGGGCATTCTGTATTATGGGCAACAGGCCACAGAACCTTGTGATGGAGCATCTTCCTTCCTCTGTCATCTCTGCAGTGGCACATTATCCAAAAACTGGAGGGCCATCATTGCCAAGAGACAGGAAAGCCTCCTGGTCTCCACCATCAAAGTGGAAGGGTGCGTTGACACCTGCCTATTTCTCAGCAATGGAATATATGAGAAAGGGAAGAGCAAGAAGACCAGCTTCACAAAAATTCCCTCTCTGCTGCATGGCAGCCTAGGGCCATTTTCTTTCCTGACACACACTCCCCACAGGTTATTACTATGTTATTTTGATGCACAACATCCATATTCTCATGAGGGAAGAAGAGAAGAAGCCAGGCCTCTGGAAACACTGTGCAAGCAATGGGGATCATGGTGCCATGGGTCCCACAGAACAATGGGATACAACAGGAGACACCCAGAAACACAGCTGCAATTCACTGACTGTGCCATCGTAGTTATGAATCTTAGTCTATGATGCCGCATCTCTGCAACCATTTATAAAATTATGCCTAATATTAAATCTCAAGCCAACATAAAATATCTCAATTTCGAAGATCTGAAATTCCATTCAAACTGGTGCTCAAGTAACCCCTGGACGCAAAATAGGAGACCAGTTGTGGCATATCCCTTGAATAAAACCAGTAGCTGACCGTCTGAAACGTGTGCCTTCCTCATGCAAGCATCTTCCAAAACTCATCTCTGGAGGCGGCTATTGTGAGGACCAGCTGAGCAAGGCCTTGTCTGGACGAGTACATCTTTTAGGCAATCGGCTGTTGTCGGTGCTTTAATGAGCTGCTTTAGGACTCAGGCTCCTCACAGCTTCCTGAACCGTTTTTAGGATAAACCCAGCAACCTCCTTCCTTACTTACTTACTTACTTACTTACTTACTTAGGTGATCCCTCATTGTCCGAGTAGGATAGTCTTCCAAGATCAATGTACTGGCGGTGGGTCCGTAGGTGACTGTGGAGCCCTATTCTTGACCTGCATCTTCTCCCGCAGTGAGGACATTGGTTTCCAGGCGGAAGGCGGTCCCGATCGGGGTTGGCTTGACACACCTTCCTCTTGGCACATTTCTCTTTCCTCCTCCATTCGTTCCTCTTTAAATTCTGCAGCACTGCTGGTCACAGCTGACCTCCAGCTGGAGCACTCAAGGGCCAGGGCTTCCCTGTTCTCTCTTTATGTCTATGCCAGAGTTTTTAAGGATGACTTTTGAGCCCATCTTTAAATCTCTTTTCCTGCCCACCATCATTCCATTTCCGTTCTTGAGTTCGGAGTAGAGCAACTGCTTTGGGAGATGGTGGTTGGGCATTCAGACAACGTGGTCGGTCCAGCGGAGTTGATGGCGGAGGACCATTGCTTTAATGCTGGTGGTCTTTGATTCTTCCAGCACGATGACATTTGTCCGCTTGTCTTCCCAAGAGATTTGCAGGATTTTCTGGAGGCAGCGCTGATGGAATCGTTCCAGGAGTTGCATGTCATGTCTGTAGACAGTCCACATCTCGCAGGCATATAGCAGGGTTGGGAGGACAATAGCTTTATAAACAAGCACCTTGGTATCCATTACGGATGTCCCAGTCCTCAAACACTCTCTGCTTCGTTCGGAAAAATGCTGCACTTGCAGAGCTCAGGCGGTGTTGTATTTCAGTGTCAATGTTGGCTTTTGTGGAGAGGTGGCTGCCAAGGGAGCGGAAATGATCAACATTTTCTAATGTGACACCATTAAGCTGTATTAAGCCAACCCCCACTGGGACCACTTCCACCTAGAAACCAATGCCCTCACTGCGGGAGAAGATGCAGGTCAAGAACAGGGCTCCACAGTCACCTATGGACCTACCGCCAGGACACTGATCTTGGAAGACTATCCTACTTGGACAATGAGGGATCACCTAAGTAAGTTAGGAAGGAAGGAAGGAAGGAAGGAAGAAAGGAAGGTTGCTGAGCTTATCCTAAAAACAGTTCAGGAGGCATTGGAGAGGGGTTGGCTGGTGACTGCTGGATGAGCAAAGCTCAGTAACAGGACATTGGTAAAAATGTAGACACTCTCCTGCACTCCTTTCACACAAACTGTAAGCCATTATTACCCCCAAAGACATCCAGGCATCAAATTTATGAGACAGCTTAATGCGCTCACTGTCAGCACCACTTGAAAGTGTAATGCTACCACTTCACTAATTTAAATTAGCTAGATCCATAGATTAGATGCTTCTTCACACACACACAGTTTAGAATGGGCTCTGCAAAGATTTAATCCAACAATTCCAATGGCTGAGGAGGCTGCCCTTCTCTGAACATCAGCATCTGGGAACACGGATGTCTCAATGACAACAGCTTATCTGGGAGTGGAACTGAAGAGGCATCATCAAAGGGCAGTGCGCGCTTCAAAAGGCAGCCTCTGCTGCCCAGGCAAAGAAGGGCGAAATGCAGAACCGACTCAAGGAATGACTCATGGAGCCAACGCTGCCCAGATTGACAGGCTTCTCTGAGCCCCCTCCAGCAAACAAGTGGGAAAGCAGAGCCTCCCACCCAAAGGCTCTGAGAACAGATGCTGGGCAAAGGGAAATCAGCAGGAAAATCACAATCTGGGCCAGATGTGCCCCTGCAGAGCTTCTCAACGCTCTTCCCCACTTGCAAGGCCCGAACAAGCTGCCGTTTCTACTTCCAACATCTGCAGTTTTGCGGCATGTGTGTTCCCTATGCATACACCTAGTATCTAAAACAGACATGGGCAAACTTGGGCCCTCCCTCTGTGTGTTTTGGACTTCAGCGCCCACAATTCCTGGCTTCAGGCCCCTTCCTTTTCCCCCTCAGCCACTTAAGCGGCTGAGGGGGAAAAGGAAGGGGCCTGAGGCCAGGAATTGTGGGCGTTGAAGTCCAAAACACACAGAGGGAGGGCCCAAGTTTGCCCATGCCTGATCTAAGCACATGCATAGACATCTGTCCAAACTCTTTAAATAACTTTCCCTTTAAAAACAACTCTTTAAGACCCTAAAACAAAGCAAGATGCCCAAAGTCCGTAATCCTGCTCCAAATGATTAGATCCTACTTACATCTGGCTAAAGGATCAAAGGATTGTTTTTATATAAACAACCCCTTAAAGCACCATGCCCTAAAAGGGATAATCCTAAACCAGGAGGATGGGGCCAATATATTCAGACTAATCGCACTCCCCCTCCATGAAAACACGCCGTGCGCCCAATAGGCACAGCCACATGATTTCATGCAACAGAACACAGCCGTGGGGCTGGCCCTAAGGAAGGGGGGGAGGCCTCCGGCAGATGTTTCGGCAACTATCTCTCCCCTCTTCCGTCATGATGGCTGTGAGAGAACCACAGAGGGGAAGGGCCGAGTAGGAGTGCCCAGGCCTACTAAGAAAACGCCATGACTTCTTGAAAAGAAAGCCAAAGCATCCCTCCAATTGTTTGCTTTTATGCCATTTTCAAAAAAGCATACCTAAGCTCACAAACCCTGGCTCAGAGAAGATGTGAGTTGGAGTGGTGAAACCAAAAAGAGGAAGGGAACAACAAAGGAACAAGGAAAGGTATAGGGTTGAGGAATATTTGCCACCGACAGCAGTGCAAAGCGCAGCACAGCAATGGGATTTTGGCCTGCATCAAGTCTAGTGTCTAGATCCAGGGAAGTCATGCTCCCCATGCTCTATTCTGCTTTGGTTAGACCACACCTGGAATATTGTGTCCAATTCTGTCAACCACAATTGAAGAGAGATGTTGACAAGCTGGAATGTGTCCAGAAGAGGACAACTAAAATGATCAAGGTTCTGGAGAACAAGCCCTATGAGGAGCGGCTTAAAGAGCTGGTCATGTTTAGCCTGCAGAAGAGAAGGCTGAGAGGAGACACGAGAAGGGCCATGTATAAATACGTCAGGGGAAGTCATAGGGAGGAGGTAGGGGGCTTCCTTTCTGCTGTCCTGGAGACTACAGAAAAACTATAGGAAAGGAGATTCCACCTGAACATTAGGAAGAACTTCCTATGAGAGCTGTTCAGCAGTGGAACTCTCTGCCCCAGAGTGTGGTGGAGTCTCCTTCTTTGGAAGCTTTTCAACAGAGGCTGGATGGCCATCTGTCGGGGGTGCTTTGAATGCAATTTTCCTACTTCTTGGTAGAATGGGGTTGGACTGGATGGCCCAGGAGGTCTCTTCCAACTCTATGATTCTATGAATCCAGTGTTATATATGAGCTTATGGTAGGAAACAAGAGACAAAATAAACAGGGGGTTCTGGTACGGTTTAAAAAGAGGCAAAAACCTACTTGTGTTGTCACAGGTAATACATCTCAGATAAAAGATTTAAATAGACAACAGAGTTTTACCAAACTTTGGTAAAAGAGTGCCCAATGCTGAATCTGTGTCGATCCTGTTTCCCCAAAAAATAAGACATCCCCTGAAAATAAGACCTAGTAAAGGTTTTGCTGAATTGCGACATATAAGGCCTTCCCCAAAAGTAAGACCTAGCCAAGTTTTTGTTTGGAAGCGTGCTCCCCCTGGTGGCCAGAAGCTGCAATACCCTCCCTGATGACCAAGTGGTCCAGGAACTGCTGTGGGAGATCATGACAGTGTATGGGAGCCAGGTACTTTACAGCCCTTATTTTGGTGACCCTGTGTGTGAGGACCAGGATATGTATTATATACTGACAACTATTGTACAGTATATAGTAAATGTTCAGGGTTTTTTTGGAAAAAAAAAAGTGAATTCTTCTTCATGGAAAAATAAGACATCCCCTGAAAATAAGACCTAGCACATCTTTGGAAGTAAAAATTCATATATTTTGGGGAAAACAGAGTATGTGCAAAGCAGGGAAGATTCCTGGTGCTCCCTTCATCACCACCACCATCATCATCATCATCAAACTTTAATTGTATCCCGGCCCATCTCCCTATGGGGATTCAGGGCGGCTCACAACATGGACAGCA